TTTTTTTTGAGACAGAGTTTCATTCCTGTGCCCAGGCTGGAGTGCAGTGGCACGGTCTCAGCTCACTGCAACTTCCGCCTCCCTGGTTCAAGCTATTCTCCTGTCTCAGTTTGAAGTTGTCTGGTTTGTTTAGGTTTTTTGTTTGTTTTTTGTTTTTGGTTGTTTGTTGATTTTTTGTGGCGAGTGTGTGTGTGTTTTAGACGAAATCTTCCTCTGTCGCCCAGGTTGGAGTGCAGTGGTGCGATCTCAGCTCACTGCAACTCCCTCTTCCTGGGTTCAAGCGATTCTCCTGCCTCAGCCTCCCGAGTAGCTGGGATTTCAGGCTCCCATCAGCATGCCCAGTTAATTCTTGTATTTTAGTACAGATGGGGTTTCACCCTGTCGCCTAGGCTGGTCTCGAACTCCTGACTTCAGGTGATCCCACTAGTCTGAAAATGTGGTTTCATTACCATAAAGAGAAGAAGAATTAGAAGGAGAAGAAGTTGACTGTCTAAATCAATCTCTGACAATCTCAGGCCATCGGCCCTATTAGCATTTCCATCAGCTGCAGGCAGGAACTTCACGGGTTGGCCACATGTGATACTCTGATTCAGCATGGAGTGATAAACAGTGCCAGGAAGGCCTCTCGTGGACATTTGCAGTCTGTCGAGGATTTGACATCTGTGTGGCGGGTGGCATCCGGGGTTGTGGGGAGATGCCTCTGATTAAGGGTGTTGAAGACGAGCTTTCACCTTCTCTGCAGAAATAATGGGAGGCCATTAAAATGGAAGACAAGGATCTGATAATATATGTGATATCTGATGCCCACCTCACTCAGCAGAGGGGACATGGTTAATGGTGTATTTGTGCTGCTGAGATATTTCCACACTCAGGGATACACTGGAGAAATGTGGGGGCAAAGTCCAGGCGGGGTGGGTCATGACTATAATCCCAGCACTTTGAGAGGCCGAGGTGGGCAGATCACCTGAGATCAGGAGTTTGAGACCAGCCTGGCCAACACGGTGAAACGCTGTCTCTACTAAAAATACAAAAATTAGTCAGATGTGGTGGCAGGTGCCTGTGATCCCAGCTACTCCGGAGACAGGCAGGAGAATCACTTGAACCCAGGAGGCGGAGGCTGCAGTGAGCTGAGATGGTGCCACTGCACTCCAGCCTGGGTGACAGAGCGAGACTCAGTCCAAAAAAAATTAAAAAGCCGAGCATGATGCTGTATTTCTGTAATCCTAGCTACTTGGGCAGCCAAGGTGGGTGAATTGCTTGGGCACATGAGTTCAAGACTAGCCTGGGCAACATAGCAAGACCTTGTGTCTACAAGAAAATAAAAACTAGCCAGTTCTGCTTGTAGTCCTGGCTACTCAAGAAGCTGAGATGGGGGATCACTTGAGCCCAGGTGGTCGAGGCTGCAGTGAACTGTGACGGTGCCATTGCACTCCAGCCTGGGTGACAGAATGAGACTGTCTGGGAAAAAAATAGGACCCAAAACAGAGACAGAGAGGAGTGAGGCTCAAACATACATGCAAGAAGATTAGAAACCCAAAGGGGAAGGTTCAGGCACAAGCGCAGTGGCTCATGCCCGTAATTCCAGCACTTTGGGAGGCCGAGGTGGGTGGATCACCTGAGGTCAGAGTTCGAGACCAACCTGACCAACGTGGGGAAACCCCATGTCTACTAAAAATACAAAATTAGCCGAGCGTGGTGGTGCATGCCTGTAACCCCACCTACTCGGGAGGCTGAGGCAGGAGAATCACTCGAACCTGGAAGGTGGAGGTTGTAGTGAACCAAGATGGCGCCCTTGCACTCCAGCCTGGATGACAACAGTGAAACTCTGAAAAAATAAATAAAAGCAGAGGGGAGTGAATAATTAGGGTGGAGGCAGGCAGCTCACGCTCATGGAAGTTGCAGCCACCCCCCAAAAAAAATCCCACATGGGCTGTGCCCTCTGGAACCTCTAGGAGCATGCGGCCCCCACCCCGGCTTCCTCATCTGTCTGTGACACTGGTCGTTGGGGATTCGAAATTGCAAGGTGTCTGCCTGCATTCCTGCAGAAGCCACAGAAACAGAAGGAATAATCTCTGTCTCCTAATGGAAGCCAACAGCTGGTAGGAGGCCCGGAATTGGGCAGCCGCTGTGTGGGAGTGAGCCGGGCAGCAGGCATCTGCGGTCACTGTCTCCCGAGGCAGGCCTTCCCCAGCCACCCTCAGCCCCCCCCAGACTCACAGCTTGGCTCTGAGGCCACTGCCTGCTCAGCTCAGCTGGACGGGAGGCGGCTGGCTGCAGAGGATCATGGCTGGATGGGAACTTGGTAACCTCTGGCCCTGGCCTAGGTTCAGGGAGGTTGTGGGCAGAGGGCTGGAGAAGAGGGAGGAAGAGGAGGATGGAGCTGATCCATGGTCTGAGATGCTCACCTGTTGTGGATGGAGCTGATCCATGGTCTGTGATGTTCTCCTGGTGTGGATGGAGCTGATCCATGGTCTGTGATACTCACCTGGTGTGGATGGAGCTGATCCATGGTCTGAGATGCTCACCTGGTGTGGATGGAGCTGATCCATGGTCTGTGATACTCACCTGCTGTGGATGGAGCTGATCCCTCGTCTGTGATGCTCACCTGCTGTGGATGGAGCTGATCCATGGTCTGAGATGCTCATCTGCTGTGGATGGAGCTGATCCATGGTCTGAGATGCTCAACTGGTGTGGATGGAGCTGATCCATGGTCTGAGATGCTCACCTGGTGTGGATGGAGCTGATCCATGGTGTGAGATGCTCAGTTGGTGTGGATGGAGCTGTATGTATTTCTCTGTAACTACATGTACACTGGTATATTTCTCTGTAACTACATGTACACTGGTG